GAGCCCTAGGCCTCAGTGTTAGAGACCGGGAGAGGGACACTGTGCCATCCTAGTATGTCATGTTGCAGGTAAGGTTGAAACTGGGTTTAGGGTCTAAGGTTTAGGGTTTAGGTCTATGTAAGCACCAAGCTACCACTAGCAGTGTTGTTTGTTTGCACAGTGGAACCAAGGCCCCTCCGACGTACGGACAAGTGACTGGACCAAACTGAGAGCTAGTTCAGGAATCGGTTGGGAAGTCAAGATTTCGAGGAATTGGGCGCTGCTTTCGGGTCCTTTTCCCTGCCCCAAATGTGATTGTGGGCCTAGCTTTCACCTGAGGGCATAAGGTTTGCGGCCTAGAGACTTGGGCGGTTGAGCGCAGTGCAAAGTGTTTGGACTGTCGAGATGTGTATGCGGTTGTTTCGGCTAGCATCTGGTGCCAAGATCAACGCAACCCATGCCTCGCGCTCCTCTTCTGTTAGTTTTTGCATCTTATTTTACGAAACGAATATGTGGAGTTTGACGGCGCAACAACGGTATGCACACGGCCAGTGAAATCGTGTACCTCAATCATCCCTTTGATGTTTACCTGATGGACAAAGTATGGTCTTGTTGTAAGCAGTACTTTCGCTACATAGACGACGGCCTGTCGTGTGTTGCTTCGACCATGTCGTCACCATCGGCGATTACAGATGCCCTCAACACATGGAATGCCAGTATCAGTATTGCCTTTCTACCACTACAAGTCTCTTGGTTATGAACCACGAGATCTTGGATGCTGGAGGTAAGACGGCTGAATACCAAACATATAATAAGACATGCCGGCAAAGAGTTCCCATGATCCGACTGTGTTTGGTTCGGTTGTCAGAACTGAAGCAGGCAGTTAGTTTACTGCGCGTCAAGAAGTGGAAAGATTCATATGCTGCTCAGCTCAGTGTCTTTGCAGACAAGCTGGTCAGACGCGGAGACTCCCGACTTACAGTGGCTCGCATTCTTCGCAAATACCAGCTTCAAGGCTAGCGGCGTATCCTCAACAGCAAGCCACGCAAAAGCTGCTCGAACTTCAGAAAATTGTGTCGCGAAGTGGCCGTTTGAGGTATGCCCGGTGCGCCAATCCAACTTTGTTTGTCAGCTCACTGGCATTCGTCCGAATCTGTTCAGGGAGCTTCACAAATGCACATGGGCATCATTTTCCATATCTTTAGGGCCTTTTGTGGAGGGAAGGTGGGGGCTTGTGTCTTGACACAATCCTTTACAAAAGCCCGAAGCCCTTGAACCCGAAGCCTCTTTGCAGACTGTTTGAACAGATCCCCAAATTTCACGAAACCCCAAACCTTAACCCCTAAACCCCAAACCTTAAACCCTACACCCCAAACCTTACGCCTTCAACCTCAACCCCCCTATGTCGAACAACAATCAGCTGCACGGTGGACAGCCCCCCCCATCGAGCTATGTCCTGTAGGAATCGGGGTTCAACTGCCGAGCCTCAACGCTAAGGCTGTAAACTAGTCCTGAGCCCTAGGCCTCAGTGTTAGAGACAGGGAGAGGGACACTGTGCCATCCTAGTATGTCATGTTGCAGGTAAGGTTGAAACTGGGTTTAGGGCCTAAGTTTAGGGTTTAGGTCTATGTAAGCACCAAGCTACCACTAGCAGTGTTGTTTGTTTGCACAGTGGAACCAAGGCCCCTCCGACGTACGGACAAGTGACTGGACTAAACTGAGAGTGAGGAGTCAAGATTTCGAGGAATGGCGTGATTGCAGGCCTGAGGGCATAAGGTTTACGGCCTGGGAGTGCAGCTTGGCTTAGGGTTTGCCGCTTGAGTTGTTGGGTTTTCTAGCTCAGGCGTCAGAAGAAGTAGAGCTAAAGGTTCAAGAGATACGACTACGAAATCTCAAAAGCCCCAAGCCCCACACCCAGATCCCCAACCCTTAAACCCCAAGTCATAGATAGATTTACATGTTGTGCTAAACTCGGAGCCAGAGGAGGCCCAGCAGCAAAGCTCTAGGTTCTGGATCTCGATTTGCGATACTGTTTCGGTACGATCCAGCATGGACCTGGACCAAACCATCTTGGAACTGGCGCCGTCAGTGCCCCAGCGGTGTTCGTCCCCTGCATATATACATACAATTACATACATACATATATATATATATATATATATATACGTGTGTGTGTGTGTGTGTATACATACATAGTATACATACATATATATATATATATGCTACCCCCCCGAAAGATCTATGTTTTTAATACGAAACAGCAACCCTTTAAACGAAATATGTTGACCCGAAGCATAACCTGCAACATACTCCATAACAATTAGCCCGAAATCCCTCCTGATTCCTAATCTAAAACACCTAGTCCGAAATCCTCCCTGAAGCCTAATCTAAAACATCTGGGCGGAAACCCTCCTTGAAACCTAATCTAAAGCACTTAGCCCCCCCCTGAAGCCTAATCTAAAACACCTAGCCCGAAACCCCCCTGAAGCCTAATCTCAAACACATAGCCGAAACACCCCCTGAAATTTAATCTAAAACAACCAGTCCGAACCCCACCCCCCGCCCCCCTGAAAAATAGACCAGCATCTGTGTGACCACTCGTGATCTGAGTCGCAGGGCTACTTGAAAGAATCCTGAACCCGAAAAGACCTTTCAGCC